TTAATCATCCCACCAACAATATACATTACTCCACGACCACTGCGTTTGCCTATACCTAGTATTGATTTTGAATTTTGAATATCGAAAAATAATTTTTACACTTCTGAAAATGTTACAAATTTATACTTGCACATACCAAAAAGTGTTTGTACAAGAACCTGTTTCTCCATATGCAAAAATAATATTAAGTATGCAAAAATATTTTAAATTGTGTCATATTATTCGCTTTTGGGGGATGTCATGACTTAGAAAAAAGAACAAATTTATTGAGACACACTCGTCTCGCTGTGGTATGTTTCATTTAATTTGATTGGATACATGCCAAAAAAAGTTATTGTTTTAAAAAAAATCATCACAAGGTTAAGGTTATATATAACTGTATGTATTGTAAATAATATAATATGTATATAGCAAGTAGTAAAAATCACTTATGTCACTCATGGTATGACAATGTCTGTATATGTATAACATTGTATATACTTCATTGATACATTGTATGTACTTCATTGTTACATTGTATGTATTACATTGTTACATTGTATGTACTGCATGTTACATTGTATGTACTGTATGTTACATTGTATGTACTACATGTTACATTGTATGTACTGTTTGTTACATTGTGTGTAATACATTGTATGTACTGCATGTTACATTGTATGTACTACATTGTTACACTGTATGTACTGCATGTTACATTGTATGTACTACATGTTGCATTGTAATACATTGTTAAATTGTATGTACTACATTGTTACATTGTATGTACTGCATGTTACATTGTATGTACTGGATTTTTACATTGTATGTAATATATTGTTACTTTGTATATACTCCATTGGTACATTGTATGTACTACATTGTTACACTGTATGTACTGCATGTTACATTGTATGTACTACATGTTGCATTGTAATACATTGTTAAATTGTATGTACTACATTGTTACATTGTATGTACTGCATGTTACATTGTATGTACTGGATTTTTACATTGTATGTAATACATTGTTACTTTGTATATACTCCATTGGTACATTGTATGTACTACATTGTTACATTGTATGCACTACATTGTTACATTGTATGCACTACATGTTACAATTTATGTAATACATTGTTACATTGTATGTACTGCATGTTACATTGTGTGTACTCCATTGTAACATTGCATGTACTGCATTGTTAAATTTTATGTAATACATTGGTACATTGTATGTACTACATTGTTACATTGTGTGTTCTACATTGTTACATGGTATGTACTGCATGTTACATTGTATGTACTCCATTGTAACATTGCATGTACTGCATGTTACATTGTATGTACTGCATGTTACATTGTATGAACTGCATGTTACATTGTATGTACTGCATGTTACATTGTATGTACTACATTGTTACATTGTATGTACTGCATGATAGATTGTAATGCATTGTTAAATTGTATGTACTACATTGTTACATTGTATGCACTGCATTGTTACATTGTATGCACTACATGTTACAATTTATGTAATACATTGTTACATTGTATGTACTGCATGTTACATTGTGTGTACTCCATTGTAACATTGCATGTACTGCAATGTTACATTGTATGTACTGCATGTTACATTGTATAAACTGTACATTACATTGTGAGTACTGCATGTTACATTGTATGTACTGCATTGTTACATTGTATGTACTCCATTGTTACATTGTATGTATTGCATGTTATATTGTATGTAGTCCATTGGTACAGTGTATGTACTACATTGTTACATTGTATGTTGTACATTGTAACATTGCATGTACTGCATTGATACAATGTACTACATTGTAACATTGTATGTACTACATTGTAACATTGTATGTACTGCATTGTTAAATTTTATGTAATACATTGGTACATTGTATGTACTACATTGTTACATTGTGTGTTCTACATTGTTACATGGTATGTACTACATGTTACATTGTATGTACTCCATTGTAACATTGCATGTACTGCATGTTACATTGTATGTACTGCATGTTACATTGTATGAACTGCATGTTACATTGTATGTACTGCATGTTACATTGTATGTACTACATTGTTACATTGTATGTACTACATAGTTACATTGTATATACTACAAGTCACATTGTATGTTATACATTGTTTCATTGCATCTTTTTCATTGTTAGCCCATTGTTACATTGTATTATATGGTATACCCATTGTATGTGTTTTGTATACCTGAATGTATAAAACATGTAATATATATATATAAAAAAAAAACATTAACGTATGTATATGTATGTGTTTTGAAACTAATCATAATAAAATTTGATATCAACTTCGTGTTTTGTGTTGTCTTAAACGTGCTGAATTAACATCACAATGAGAGAGAGCCGTTGCTGTGTTGTACAGAGAAATCACGTATTGTAGATTAATGGACTGAAAATCAAATTTTCATAAAAACAGTATGTGTATAATAAACTCTTAAACCATCTTATGAGTCTACGAATATTTGCTGATCTTTGAGTTCAAGCTGATTAAGTTTGCAAAACGAGTGCAAAAGTATTAATATCAAGATATGTTACTACGTCCCATGTTGCAACAAAATTCTGAAATTCTGACAGAAAATGAAGACGTTCCATCAGGAATGAGGTAAGTATATGTACATGGCAGAGTATGAAAGTGTTCCATCAGGAATGGGGTATATATATGTACATGACAGAGTATGAAGGCGTTCCATCAGGAATGGGATATGTATGTTGGTATGTCTGGAGACTACGTTGTTTGTCGTGTGAATGTCTGGTGACTACATTGTTTGTCGTGTGTATGTCTGGTGACTATATGTTGTTTGTCATGTGTATGTCTAATAACTACGCCATTTGAAGTGTGTATGTCTGGTAACTACGTTGTTTGTCGTGTGTATGTCTGGTGACTACATTGTTTGTCGTGTGTATGTCTGGTGACTACATTGTTTGTCGTGTGTATGTGTGGTGACTACGTTGTTTGTCGTGTGTATGTCTGGTGACTACATTGTTTGTCGTGTGTATGTCTTGTGACTACATTGTTTGTCGTGTGTATGTGTGGTGACTACATTGTTTGTCGTGTGTATGTCTTGTGACTACATTGTTTGTCGTGTGTATGTCTGGTGAGTACATTGTTTGTCGTGTGTATGTGTGGTGACTACATTGTTTGTCGTGTGTATGTGTGGTGACTGCATTGTTTGTCGTGTGTATGTCTGGTGACTACATTGTTTGTCGTGTGTATGTGTGGTAACTACATTGTTTGTCGTGTGTATGTCTGGTGACTACATTGTTTGTCGTGTGTATGTGTGGTGACTACATTGTTTGTCGTGTGTATGTCTTGTGATTACGTTGTTTGTTGTGTGTATGTCTGGTGACTACATTGTTTGTCGTGTGTATGTGTGGTGACTACATTGTTTGTCGTGTGTATGTCTGGTGAGTACATTGTTTGTCGTGTGTATGTGTGGTAACTACATTGTTTGTCGTGTGTATGTCTGGTGACTACATTGTTTGTCGTGTGTATGTCTGGTGACTACATTGTTTGTCGTGTGTATGTCTGGTGAGTACATTGTTTGTCGTGTGTATGTCTGGTGACTACATTGTTTGTCGTGTGTATGTGTGGTGACTACATTGTTTGCCCTGTGTATGTCTGGTGACTACATTGTTTATAGTGTGTATGTCTGGTGACTACGTTGTTTATCGTGTATGTGTGGTGACTACATTGTTTGTCGTGTGTATGTCTTTCCATCCGTGCTATGTGACTGTTGATGCTTTGAAATGGATTTCTTGATCAGGGCCCAAGGATTGAAGGCAGACTGCAGGTTATTCAATATAGGATATGCGTAGATGCAGTTCTAGTTTCAACTTAACACTGTCTCAAGGTCTAATTACCACAGCATGATTCTATTTTTATATACATTTGGGTACATAAGCCTCTATTGTATATTGCAAGATATACAGACAACATTTCGACACTTTGATGTTTGTACTCATCTTAATAATAACAGAGTACAGACATACATCAGGAAGGGTCCAGAATTGTGTCAGGCCCTTAACCGAGTGTTACATTGTATTGCTTCATAAACACTTCAATTAGCCTGTGACATAAAAAAAGATATTTGACCTTCATCCCAGTTCTGATGACCTTAACCTAGAGTCTGTCAAGAATACAATCTCATATTTTGGTGGTGTTCAAGTCTACTAAGTTTCAAAGGAATTGGCAGATGATAATGCTGGAGATATCTGGACAGGATATAAAAATGTTAAAAAAAGGGCAATAACTCTTATTGTAAAATGATAGTGCCAGCAAGTTGAACACTATTGAATGTAATGTTCAAAAGCGTACCAAGTTTCAAAGAAGCTGGTGTAAAATTGAGGAAGATTTCCATACAAAATTAAAATGCTAAAACACATAGAGTAGTAACTCTCCCACATACAGTGAAATGAACCTGTCATTCAGACATGAATAGATTCACCAGAGAGTGATTAAAGCTACCAGTTTTAAAGGAATTTTTGAACACCGTGGGAGAAGATCTCCGCACAAATAAAACTTCATATGTTGTGTCAAAATTTTTGATGAGCATACAACAAAAAAGCAAGCACACTTTGGTGGGACATGTTTATTAGGAATATAGAAGTAATGAATATGTGTGGTGTTTTATTTCAGCAAAATATGGCTCACAACAAAACGCGAAAATTAGAAAATTGTTGACATGATTTTATAAGTATGTTTAACACAGGCCTCGAAATTAAAAAAAAAAAACTAAAATAAAGAGATAAGTTCATATGTTTATTTATGTATTAGATATGAAACTTAACATGCTGACAATATTCCCGTGACATATCACAATGATACATGATGATGAAATTGACATAACACCTGTTTATAAATTGTTGTTTATACTGTGGCATAATCAAGAGACAAAGTTACTCTGAAATTCAAAAGGAAAACAATTCTATTTGCATAAACTGAAATTCAATTAAATACTTGTTGTTATGGTTAGCTACAAAATTACATAATGCTCAAAACTTAAAACATTTACACATTCGTGTCAATATTTATCACAGAAAGTTCTTCAATCATAATATACAATCATTTCTCATATTTTACAACTAGACCTGAACTGTATTTATATAAATGAAACCATGCTTGCACTAAAAAGTATATCAAAATATATATCTCGCAAATAATATTTAGAAAACAGTTTATAAGCAGAAGAGAAAATTTACTAATATCCGACTTCAAAACAGAAGGTAAAAACTTCTGTCATAATTCATCATTTTATTACTTTCCATTGCAAGTTGCTACACATGATTTGATGTCCTGTTGGGTTTTCCTCAGTTGAAATCTTTTACAGTTCATATCAGCTTTCTGGATTCCTATGTACAATAAAACCCTCCATCGTGTTTTCGAGAATAGCCTCCATTTGTTCCAGCACTGTGAGGACTTTCTGTTTGTGAGAAAAAGTTAGTTGCAAACTACACTGTTTGTGCATGTCTTAGAAGTAAAGGAGACACTCCAGGGAGAGAGAGAATTCAGGAGTGGGATAAAGGGGGATAACTGCGTGCTGTGACTAGCAAGGAATATAACATGCAGTGATACATTTCATACTTGGAATTTTTATTCTAAAAAATTAGTCAAACAGTTTTTCATTTGTTGTCAAATTTGATTTCAAGGTTTACCAAGCAAGATCAATAGTGTTAAAATTAAGAGAACTCAAAATATTAGTTTGTCTCTCTCAGACCAACAAATACTTATACAAATGACAGAAATGTGAAAGATTTGTCAAACATAATTAATAATATTATAAAGATTTAAGAAATATTGGTACTTCAGGCCATAATGAATGGAGTGAAACTCAAAAGATTTTCCACTTATATTCAATATAAAAAAAGTATTGAATTTGAATTTTCAAAAAAATGAACGAAATTAAGAGATAACTGAAAATCTAACTTTGTCAAAGCTAAGCAGCTAATATGTTGTATATTTTACAAGAAGAAGAAAAAACTACTAGCAGGCAGTTTGAAATTTAGTGATAACAGGTACAGAAGTCATAGGTTATTTTTTGGCTGTTTAGCAATAACGTACACTTGTAGGTTTTGCCAGTAGTAACAATTGTTCAAGTAATTAATTTTATCAACAGGAATGAGATATCAGGAGATTTGTTAGCTGTGAGTAGAGAAAGACTAGCAGTGTGATATTAGTATAGAAAAAAACCGCCATCTGGTTTCCGGGAATACCCCCTGTTGGTAGTTTGAGTATGGTGACTCTCTGTGTTAATGAAGAAACAAATATTTAATAGTAATTATATTTATAAGAAAAAAAAAATCACACTGGCCTCAAGATTTACATCTTTAAATATTTTTACTTAAATCATTTTTTAGATGTCATTTAATCTTACTACAATATTCCATTTTTGATACAATGATACAGAAAAGCTTGAAATAAATTACTCAAAAATCAATTTTTATCTTCACATTTTCACTAATTGAAACTATTACATATATTTAATTTTTATTATTATCTTCTCATTTTATAAATCGTCAGTGTACAATTTTAATAGAATAAATTTTGAGACCTTCAAACAATTCAGTCCAATAAAAATGAGATCACATTTGTTTATGTATAAAGGTAATACTCTCAGTGTAATATACCACAGACTAGAATTGCATCTGTGGTTTAATAACAGTACATATTATTTCATAATCTGAAAACTACAGAGAAAAGTTACATAAAACTTAAAAACTATGTGATTTGATTTTTACAGGAATGAAATGCATTTTTTTTTTTTATAAACTCAAACCAAAAAATGTTTTATGCAGATTAGTTTGATAAAAGATTGTTTGAAATAACATATAACATGCGGTGACAAAATTGTAAACAATTTAGTATAAAATCAGACTTTGTGTGAATAAGTGTCCACCTCATTCCTCTACTGATTAAGACAAGTTTTTTGTTAAGTAACTTTTTTGGTTTAATTTAAATCAGTATGTTAAAGCACACAGGTCTACTTTATTGTAAAAACAGGTAATTTTGGTGTTAATTTTGGTGTTAGTTTTCAAAAGTTGTGGGATGTTGGTGTTTCTTTTTTTTAAAAAAATCAATGTGTTTGTCAAATAACTGTATTCATCAAAGTGACTCTGAACATATTTTAGATAAAGGAAAAATATTCTTTCAAACTTGACAAAAAAATACAATCTAGAAGATACTATCCTTCCTTAAGTAGAGATAAATGAAATGCTAATTTTTCTTCATATTCTCAATTTGTTATAAAAATAAATTACATTTTTGTCATCTTTTATATTTTTGGGTGCAAAAAAAAAAAATACATCTTGATAAATGATTGCAAAAACTACTCACACTGTACAAAAATTATGTAAAAAAAAATATTTTTTTTTGTGATGAAAAATTCACTGTCATATAGATCTTAAATATAGATTATTTATTTACAAAGCAAGATGTTCCATGTCACTTTCATGCCTGTGCTGTTACATTGAATATATTTGATAGGGTCAATTAACATTACAATTCAGGCAGGGGGTCTTGTAGTTAGGTAACCAGTGATCAAACATTTAGGTGAACATAACTATAAAACAAAGAATCCCCCATCTGGTTTTCTGGAAAAGCCATTGTTTGTTGTTTGTGTGTGGTGTCCCCCTGTAAGTTTTCATAAGAATAAAAAAAAAAAAACAAAAGAATATGAATACTATTTTAAAAGGTCAAGTTAGTTTTATTAGTAATAAATATACATATATTTTTTTTTTTGTTGAATAAATTTTTAATACCAGACCCAAAGGAATCATCATGGGACAGAAACAAGAGGAGGACATCAAAACATAAGGGTCTTTAACATTGAGAATTGTGACACAAGGAATTTATTTTTTTCATCTCTCTCTTGTTGACAAATTGAAGTGTCCTTTTATGGATTAAATCAACCAGTTTTGCAAGATATTATTACATTATATAAATACTACATTATTACTTTTTTGATACAATGGTAAAATTATCAATTTGAAGTTGAGCAATTTCAAAGGATTTGTTTGAGAAAAACACTGCTGTAGGAACGACAACATGGCATATATCATTAACACAAAGTATAAGTTAATATAGGACATACAAGTTCCATGTTACATCTCGGCATTACCGATCCAAAAGTAATAAATGAATGTCTATAAGATGGTTATCAGTATCTTGACGTATATTTTATATTTAAGTTCAGAAATAAAGGATTTATGGTCATGTGATTGTACTGTTTATTTTCTCAAATGTAATCAGTATGCAGAAGTTTTTTTAAAAAAGTTTTATAGCATCTTTTGTCCTTAATAAATTTAGAGTATAGTCATACAAACCTATTGCATTTTTGATTGAGTGGATGCTTTCCTTCTTCTTCCCTCGTGAGATAGAAAGAGGATGATTTAGGTACGGTATTGGTTTAATAACTTCTTTTTCACGATTCTTCAATACACGTCTGGAAAAAAAATATACTTTCCTTGACCTCAACCATATCCCCCAAAAAAAACCTATTTACAAGGAGACTATTTAACTTGCTTCAATTAAGAGAAAATTAAATATACAATAAATTATCTTGCTCATAAATACATGAACAAACTAGATGAAGCCATGTAATACTTGTGGAAAATTTTAGATTATCTTAAAATAATAAAACATTTATTACGTAAAATTTCTGACTAACAATTAGAGTAAATAAATATCTGCCATAAATATGTAGTTATTGTTATTTTTTCTTGATATGTGATTTGCTGTTCAAAGTTTTTTTTCTCATTCCAAAACTTAGTTCAAGTATTAATTTACATATAAGGTTAATGGTTTTAATATTGTAACATCTAAGACATTTTTAACTCTTAACTTAACATACATTGTATGATCAGTGCTTCAAAAACTCAGACGATCTTGTCTTTGATAATAGTTTTGTTTTATTTAATGAATGTAGTAAAATACCAAGTTTTGAATTAAAACTTAGAATCAGTCACCAGTAGCCTCTATATTTGAACAGCTACCATTTTTCTTCATTTATAACAGGAAAAATTAGGCATCAATCTGAAATTATTTCTATTTCTTAAACAAGCATGAAAAAAAATACAAAAATGAAGTGTCATTTAGGTTACCAGACCATAATTTACCTTAAATGGTGACTGTTTTATGGACAGGTTTTCTTAGTTTGATTTTTATATCCAAATGTATATATTTTACCAATTTCACACAAAAAACAAGGGTTTTAGAAATAAAATATCATAAAATGTATTTCTAGATTTTATTTGCTGTATGCCTTTTTTCTCTCTTGGGCTTTACAAATGTCTGATGGAGATCTACTTTATTACCACTATACAATAGACATGACGTGACATATAATTACCCATGGTCATCACCAAGTGTTTCTGGTTGGTATAAGGTCTCATTGTGGTCTTTCAAGAAGGCTTGATGATGATCATACTCGGATTTTAAGATAAAGTCCAGACTATCTCTTGGAGCAACGGGATCATGGTGATAGATCTCCCGACGCGATGAAGCTAGAGTGCATGTATTATTGAGTCTGTTCCAAGGATCATCATTCTGTGCTAGATGGGTTGGTTTTTGGTATCCTTCAATCTGCAAAACATTCAAGCATACTTGTACAGACATATGTTGCTGGAAATTACTTTTTTTTTTTAGTTTATACACGTATACAATGTTGTCCAGGTTCCAGTCTTGTCTGAAAATTCTAAACAGACAATGAACTACATATCTTCATGTTTGTCTCCTTTTTTTTGATAATTAAGTTCTCTAGCGGACACATAATTATAAAGGGAGACAGTTAAATCTGTTGCTCTAAATACAAACTTATAAGAACTTATAATATGACTGACAGTAGACACAGGTTTGAAGAAGGTAGTAACCTTTTTCAATCCAATAGCAAGAATAAGCATGTTTCCCTTATCCTGCTGTTCCCTTGTATTGGTGTAAAAGAAGCAGGTCAGTGTGGGTTCTATGTAGAATTAAATACGGTCTCTGTCACTCAGCTGATGCAGCATGGTTCTTGGCCTCAGTTGAAATAGAGCTGGTTGATTAGAGTCTGGGTTTGATGGGGTACTAAACAGGAATGTGTATTTTCCCTGTTCTTTCACATGGGTGCCCAAACAAAATCTCATCCTTTGTGGTAATTTGGGTCTCAAGTTGGGATTTAAAAAATCTGGGTTTCTACATTTATTAGGATTTATTAGGAAAATTAATGGATACAGGTTGAAATCCTCTTTATCGATATCATATAGGCAGTGAGTAAAGTTAAATCCTCCAGTACAATAGCTATAATATGTAAAGCCAACTGTTAAATTAAAATTTAAAGAGTACAACGGCAATTTTCCCACCAATACTTCGAAATGGTAAACCGTTATCTGCATTGATGATATGTTGCAGTAACATATCTACGATTAATGTGCATAATGTTAATCACGTCTCAGTCTCTCAGCTGACGGAGCATGTTTCTTTTGCTCGGTCAGGTAATAGACCCAGTGTATCTATCATCTATGCCATTTGTAAGTAAGCAGCAAATCCGATGTCTAGACGATATTACAAAAACTGTTCTACGATACTTCCAAAGCATGGGTGCTTACAATATGTAAACAGAATTTTTGACACATGACATGATAACTCTACACACTATTGACGATAACCAAAGCAGTATGATAAAAAAATCTTACTTCAGCTTTAAGTTGACCCATAAAGTTGTCGTCATTCTGATATCGAGGGAAGGAATACGGATCTCTATTCGACATCATCTCTCTTGCAGCCATTGTTCTGTTTGGCTTTCCTTGACAGCTGATTGCCTCAAAATACCGCGGATGTTGGCGACGCTTCTATAGCAACCGTAAGTCTCGCGGGATCTCGGCTTAGCGTTGTTTTGCAATTGAACTTTTTATTAATTTATTTTTACCGAAACCGGCAATTTTCTGTATAATAATATTATCTGAGGTATCTATACTAATATTATTGAAAAATGCAAAAAACAATGAAATATTCCCGAGCCAGTGCGCATGTTGTAAAAGTAATTTCCGGTTTCCGTGGCCAACAACTCCGTCACCATCTGGCTCAACCTGTCAGTTGCATATGTGATAGTTTACAAACACTCAGCGTGTATTCGTTTGTGTCTTTGTGATAGCAGCAACCTGAGACAATGGACATCTCTCTTGTGCTGTTGTTTTCGGTTATTTTTACTGCACATACTTTGGAAGCCGTCCAACTTTTACCAACCTGTCAACCGGTAAGTTTGATAATCTTGATGATGTTGGTAGCTGTGTTTGCTTTAGCTTTTTTGTTTACTTATTGCAGAACGTAATAAAGCAATGTGATGTAAGTGAAAAAAATACACCAGATGTTGTCTAACTATTTCATTTGTTTTTACTCTATTTTACGCGAATTCAAACAATATTTTGATATGAAAGGTGTGAATATGCTTCAAAAACATTTGAGTAAGTTATACTGATTAATCAGTATTCTTTGTAAAAGAAAAAAAAAAATCTGTCAGTGAAGTCCATTTCAGGTTTCACATAAAACTCCTATGCCATGTGTGACTGGTCCCATTTACAGCTGCTACATCAGAATCTATTGTAAATTTTTAATTATCTGCCCCAGGGTAATAACTGCTACTAGATTAGCATATACATAGTACACTGCAGTGTGTCTGGTCTCCAATACTAAAAAAGAGAGAGATTTTAATAGACAACATATAAACGAGTGTTGTCATTCAGACTCACGGAGAATAACTTTACAAATGGGGCTCGCCATTACAGGAGAAAATGAGGTGACTGATTCAACGTACAAAATTCTGGATGAGAAGTGATATAGATATAAGGCTGACAAAAATTTCATAGGCATAATTTTAAATGACTGGCAAAGCAAGTACCTGCATTGCACCACTGTAACCAGAAGTACCAACCATTAATTATCCTAGTAGACTATTTTCATTTAAAAAATTTTATTGTATATTACATACAATTGGATTAAATTACAGACAAAGCCTATATTTATTTTCTCCATTTCCAGTCATAAACATGCATCATTATAACTAAATATGACTTTTCATATACATAACAAGAGTGGGAATCAATATCTGCCTTCACCAAGTAGACTACATTTTGTAAATGGAATAATGAATTTGTAGATGTACAATCATTTTGAAAATTTGACATATAAAGTTTGCTACCACTTCTTTCCAGACTAATGAAGAGATTGTCATAAATTCATGAGGGCACATTCAGTTACCTTCATACCTGTGCACATTTGATTTTTATTGGATTTTCCAGTTGACTTCAAAAGGCAATTTTGAATTTGATACCTGTCAAGACATTATAAATATTTTACATATTATTACACATTACTCTACCTGTTGAAAGTATAACCACATGATTCAGTGACTATTAGATTGTAACTGGACATGAAACAAAACTGAAGAAAACAGAAAATGATCAGCCTTAATATGTAGAACCAATGAAGAGCTTTGATGGTGTGTGCCAAGAACTCTTTGGGATATGTATACAGACACCATGTATACTTATGATATACAATACATTACCTCAGGTGAAGATCAAAGGTATGGTTTGATATTCACAGCCTATGATGGTTTGGGTTTCTCTGGAAGCAGTGAAATGGACCAGTTTGTTCCTCTATAATGTATTGATGTGGTTGTGTCCTAGGACAGTACTCTTCTTTTAAGCCCACTTGGTGTGGATGGAATGTTTCAGACCTCCAGTGTTGTTGTGTGATATAGATAGCCAGTATATATGCAGTTGCTACTGTACAGGGAGACATCACCAAGAAATTACTCCAGCTATTCATTTGTGCAAACAAACATATATACCGTATAGTTTATGGAAAACATCACTTTTATTTCTTAAGATTACTTCCTATATTTGCTTATCATGGTTCACTTGTCATTGCATCATGTTATGATGTTTGTTTGTGCTAGAGATCGTCTTTGTACGTATAAATTTCATTGTGAAGGTATAACAAACCTGTTCACACTAAACTGATCAAAAATTATGCCAAGGTACTGTTTTAACAAATACTGGTATGTAAATCTGTATAGCAATTATCAATAACACCCCATCATGATCTCAATATATACCAGCTGCAGTCAAGTAGTTAATTTTGTTTTTAATAATATTATTTTAAAGGTTGCTGGAGAATGAGTGCTGATTTTGAAGAATTTCAGTTGATATGATTAATCATCACTCCTAATATTTTGAGTATTATCAAAGAAGTCTAAAGGTTTTAAATATTTATAAATATTGATGGGAAGGTAATTTTAAATTCAGTTTAAGTGTTCAGTTACTTAGTTCTAGATATCTGTCTCTGGAATACAGACATGGCTCACATATTATATACAAGAAGAAGTCTAGAAATTGATTTGGCCTGCATACTAAATATTATGTTGATATGAAGCATTATTTGTACTGAGTCATAATTATTGTAGAAATAAAACATGATAATAATGATAACCAAAAATATAACAAAGCTGTGAGCTTCAGTGTAATATGATTAAATGATATTATAATAAAAAATGAAACTAAATTTTTGTACATAAATATGCATAATACACATCACCAATCCTTTTACTTTTTTAAAATAAAAGTCATGTCCCTGACCAGTAAATGTGTTTGTATAATGATATGCAAGGTATTATACATGTTCTGTTGAAAATTTGAATTGCAACCATACATTGTAGATTCATGCAAAAGACGTGTGGATGCATGTACTCAATATTAGATGTACTCATTATAATTAATAATCTATTGACTAAACATATATCAATTTATTTATTTTAAAATATTCTCTCTTTACACCTTAGTTGAAATACTGTGTATGATATTTTGTGCCACTTTAAAGCTTTACAACTATTAAGTGTTTCATAATATATTCATGTTGTTATCGGCAGATTTGTCAAGAACAGGTAATGATATATAGTTGTCTTCAGATTTGTCACCTATAGGTTATAATGTATAGTTGTCTTCAGATTTGTCACCTATAGGTTATGATATATAGTTGTCCACAGATTTGTCACCTATAGGTTATAATATATATTGTCTTCAGATTTGTCACCTATAGGTTATGATATATAGTTGTCTTCAGATTTGTCACCTATAGGTTATGATATATAGTTGTCCACAGATTTGTCACCTATAGGTTATAATATATAGTTGTCCTCAGATTTGTTACCTATAGGTTATAATATATAGTTGTCCACAGATTTGTCACCTATAGGTTATAATATAAAAATGTCTTCAGATTTGTCACCTACAGGGTATAATATATAGTTGTCCTCAGGTTTGTCACCTATAGGTTTTATAGTTGTCCTCAGATTTATCACCTATAGGTTATAATATATAGTTGTCCACAGATTTGTCACCTATAGGTTATAATATAAAAATGTCTTCAGATTTGTCACATACAGGGTATAATATATAGTTGTCCTCAGGTTTGTCACCTATAGGTTATGATATATAGTTGTCCACAGATTTGTCACCTATAGGTTATAATATATAGTTGTCCTCAGATTTGTCACCTATAGGTTAAAATATTTAGTTGTCCACAGATTTGTCACCTATAGGTTATAATATAAAAATGTCTTCAGATTTGTCACCTACAGGGTATAATATATAGTTGTCCTCAGGTTTGTCACCTATAGGTTTTATAGTTGTCCTCAGATTTATCACCTATAGGTCAAAATATATAGTTGTCCACAGATTTGTCACCTATAGGTTATAATATAAAAATGTCTTCAGATTTGTCACCTACAGGGTATGATATATAGTTGTCCTCAGGTTTGTCACCTACAGGGTATAATATATAGTTGTCCTCAGGTTTGTCACCTATAGGTTTTATAGTTGTCCTCAGATTTATCACCTATAGGTTTTATAGTTGTCCTCAGGTTTGTCACCTATAGGTTTTATAGTTGTCCTCAGATTTATCACCTATAGGTTTTATAGTTGTCCTCAGGTTTGTCACCTATAGGTTTTATAGTTGTCCTCAGATTTATCACCTATAGGTTTTATAGTTGTCCTCAGATTTATCACCTATAGGTTTTATAGTTGTCCTCAGATTTATCACCTGCATGTAAAGGGTACTATGAAATATTGGTTTATGATTTACATATAACATTGACGTGAAAAAGTTCAGAAGATTTATGTAAACATTCAGCTTGTGCTAGTATATGTTAAGATCCTCATTATGGTTTCAATATACATCATATATTGTCCTAAGCTGTACAGTAAACATGTTTCTAAATATTTGACAGCTGTTGTTTGATGTCATGTGCCATGAGAATCAGCAGCTTAATAATTATAATGTTTGGTTAGCTTTAAGATACTAAATGCTTATGAAATTATATAAAAAATTGTAAGTTTTCTTACAAATATGCTAGATATTAATCACCGTTTTAGTCCCTTTTGATGATGTAGGTTTGTCGTAGTATGGAGACAATAATACAGTATATATTTTGTATCTATTTTGACGTTTTATATTATGTTTATCCCCAGCTGTAGATACCAGTAATAGTCAATGTACAGTTTATTACTTTTGGTGCATGCACTGTACAGATACTAAATGTGAACAATGAAAAAATGGGTTTGTAAATATTTGTGTGATGGCAACATAAATAATTTAACAAGTTTGATATACGTTTTCATTGTCTATACTGGGTTCTTTTATTCAGAATATCTGTCTGTCAAACCATACAATTTTCTGACTTCATGTTCATTCATAGTCTTGTCTGCTTGCAATTGTTTGTCAATTTTTTCTCTTTTCATCCATTCCTTTGATTGTCCATCCTCTCCTGGTCTTCTGAATTATTAAGTACAACAATTTAAATATACACCTGTACAGGTATTTTTGATTATCAGCCATGCACAAGGTAAATCTGATGACTATCTGTATCCATTGTAAAATCCTAAGATTAATTTAAGGAAATATATCCCTTTTTAAGTGACATGTATTTGTAATTTTGTAGAGCGACTTCCACTATGAATATACTGAATGTGACAGCGACGGTGGAAGATGGCGTGTTTCTGTGCCGGAGCCAAACAAATGTGAAGGCGGGGCTCCTCCTCCTCCAGTCAGAGGCAAAAACTGCAGTAAGTAATTTTAAAATCCTATCCGCAGAAAGTAGTGTAGTTATTAATTAAAACACAATGATTCCTTCTGTACACATCATACAATTAGTAATGTCTATCTTAATGTCTTATCAGAATTTACCTGTGAAGCTGGCCAATTCCTGAACATGACTGACCAAATGTGTAGTCCCTGCCCCCCAGGTACTTACTCCCTAGGGGGTGGGGCACGATTTGATGAGTGGGACAAGATACCCCAGGGCTTTACTGCAGATGTAGACAGCTTCCTGGACTCGCTTGTCCCTGGGGCAGACCATGCCAACTGTACTGAGTAAGTCTTAGGTTCACCAAGTGTTTTGTACAACCTACAGATTCAGTTAATGTTGGAGAATCTCTATTTCTGGATTTGGTTTACAGAATCTGTTTTATTCCACTTTCTGTTGAAATTTTTAATGTGCAAAATAATTGAAAATAAAAGTGAGTTAATACATTCTCCACAATTTGAAACCACAATATGAGCAGTACAACCTGCATTGGCCAACGTAATCTGAGGTGAAAAACTGAACTGTGAAGTTAGACAACCACATGAAGCTACAATGTTACTGGGTCAGTTTGATTTCTCAGTATAATTAGACAGTGCTATAATGTTTGTCAGTAATCAATTTTATTTACTAAACTTTATTTGGATGACATGTGATGGGTCTTCCACATGATGTTCATTGAAGTAGCCACCAGCTATATAACTGCTTCCTCAAAATCATATGCATATAAGGTGATAGATCTTGCAAAAGAAACACAACTGAAAAAAAAAATAATAAAAATGAATGTTAAAGTTAAAAACTTCTTTAAGTTATGTAAATTACACAAGTTTTTACAGTGGTAATTGATATGATTGCTTTGTCTGGTATTACAGTACAGAGTGGAAGCCTAAAGGAGATTTCATCGCCTCATACCCAGGTCCCTGCTCCTCCAGTCTGGTGTATTCGGTGACCTTGGTTCAGCCGGGATCTGTGACCTTTGAATACCAGTACACAGATTCAGCCTCCATGTTCCAATTCAAGGTATTTAGATTTCTGCTTTCTCATGGAGACAATGTTTTTAAATGGCATGAAACTTTGTTTGAAATTTATGAGGAGCAGCACTGGAGACACATCTGTAGGAAGGGTTTCATTTCCAGTGGGCAGGATGTGGTATATTGTCATATATGTAAGTTTCTATGGGAGAATTATCAGTCAGCAGATATCTTGATACTTGAGATGTATGTTGCCTTCTGTTTGGGTTTGTAGATGATACATAGGATAAATATTGGCCGTTATATCTGTAGATTCTTTCTGTCATTGTATGTCTTTACATGTGCTGTATAAGTCAGATGTTAGTTCACATGATCTCTCAAATATACATGTTTACTGAATCAAATTGTGATAGATGGGTATGTTTTCTCTGTCTTCTTCCAACAGAATCTTCCCAATTCTAATTTTCTAGTACAATGAAATTGATCATTGTAGGCTACTTGTACACATTTAATATCAAGTAGATACAAGTGTGTAGGCTATTTGTTGCCTTCAAAATTGTTGATTTTTAAAAATCAGGTAGAGTATTTTGATCAGTTAAAAAAAAATCACTTTGGAAACTACCAGTTACTCAAATTATATACACTTTCAATTCTTCAGTTTTTCTAGGAGTAAATCTTTACATATTGATTGTAAACAGAAATGAATAGGAAATTGTTGCGATGATTGTAATAGATGATTAATTTTGAAATATTTTTAACAATAAATTGTGTAACCTATCAATTATTGGTGGTAATTAATCACCGTAACAACAGTACATAGCAGAAATCAATCAAACATTTTGGTTTGTGTTGTAATATTTCATCAAATTGACTCATTCATGACACTGGATCATCAAGGTAGGGTTGCTAGGTCAGTGAACACAGTCAGAGAATTTTGAAAGAAGTCGGAGAAATTTCCTAATTCTATGAAGGTCATGGAAAAGTCGAGGGAAAATAATTTTCATGGTTGAACACTTTACTGTGGCTAGAGAAGGCTTCTGATCCAGGACATAAAACAACCCTACCTGACGTCAATTGAATAACTAGTAAGTTTTTAAGATAGGGGTGGACTGGATGTCTGTAAATTGGTCAGGAAAAGTAAGTAAAAAGTCCAGGAATTTTATGTTGACTGCAGGCTGGCAACACTGCAGGAAAACATTAATTTAGGCTCTGCCTAGTTTTTCGATTGATGTTGGTACTAGCATTTCTGATAGAGAAAAATGTAATGGAAATTCACCAACAGTCTCTTTGCGCTAAGCCATGACCTCTTAGGTTTGTTTCAATAATGTAACAGTACAGGAAAGAGGCCAAAGATGAGGATACAAAGCAATGGTCATGTTTTTTTTTTTTTATTTTTTATTTATAGGTACAGAATGACCAGTGTAAATCTGTTGATGACAAAGAGGCAAATCATTGGCCGGGGGCCACAAAAGACGGTGAATTTAAACAAGTGAATGTACGTAACTGACAAAAGAATTGTGTCACCTTAATCAAAACTCTTTATACATACATACAGATAAAACTGGATTTATACATCTTTATAAATATCCAGGTAAAAACATTGTGAACCAAAATTTTCTTTGTTACCAGTTGATCTCAATGAGTTATTTTTTCTTTTAAGAAACCAGTGCAAAATTCTATGTAGACAAAGTTGGTGTTTATATTTTAGCTTGTTCTGAAAACTGGATTGAATGTGATTATCTGGAGGACTATGGGACTGAACATTGGAGATGTGAAAGCTAAATATAAACCAGTTATGATTCGCAAGATTGAAGTGACAGGTACAATTTCTATTATTTTAATGTCCTATTCAAATTTATATTCAGTGTTGATACCAGAACTTTAGAAAAAATATTTTTTAGAACTTTCCATAAGTTTATACCATTCTGTGATTGATCATGGCATCAAACAAATACATTTTACAATACCATTCCCTTCTTTAATAGACCAATGAACATTTTACATAATATAGACACTGCATTACAGTTTTGAGAATCAATATTTATCTTTCTTCCTTGATTTCTTTGATTGAAAATTCTACATGCCATCTCTTACCCACAGGTGTGGCCTACACATCTGAATGTACCAAATGCCGTGCTGGGACACATAGCCCTAAAGAAGGTGCTCAGTTTTGTTCTCCTTGTGATATCAACACTTTTTCCGACCGTGGCGCAGCTACATGTTCAACCTGTGATGCAGCTACACAGTATTCTCGTAAGAAACTTGATAAGACGATCTGCACTTCTAGAACTCCTTATAATCAGTCTGTATGATATTACAAGTCTTTTGTTTTTCTCAATTTCTCAATTATCAGATTAACCTATCAGAAACACTGATTAATCTATCAAAAACTCTGATTAACCTATCAGAAACACTGATTAACCTATCAGAAACACTGATTAATCTATCAGAAACACTGATAAATCTATCAGAAACACTGATTAATCTATCAGAAACACTGATTAATCTATCAGAAATCTTATTAACCTATCAGAAACACTGATTAACCTATCAGAAACACTGATAAATCTATCAGAAACACTAGATTAACCTATCAGAAACACTGATTAATCTATCAGAAACACTGATTAACCTATCAGAAACTCTTATTAATCTATCAGAAACACTGATTAACCTATCAGAAACACTGATTAATCTATCAGAAACACTGATTGATCTATCAGATGCACTGATTAACCTATCAGAAACACTGATTAATCTATCAGAAACACTGATTAATCTATCAGAAACACTGATTAACCTATCAGAAACACTGATTAATCTATCAGAAACACTGATTAACCTATCAGAAACACTGATTAATCTATCAGAAACACTGATTAATCTATCAGAAACACTGATTGATCTATCAGATGCACTGATTAACCTATCAGAAACACTGATTAATCTATCAGAAACACTGATTAATTTATCAGAAATCTTATTAACCTATCAGAAACACTGATTAACCTATTAGAAACACTGATTAATCTATCAGAAATCTTATTAACCTATCAGAAACACTGATTAACCTATCAGAAACACTGATTAATCTATCAGAAACACTGATTAATCTATCAGAAATCTTATTAACCTATCAGAAACACTGATTAACCTATTAGAAACACTGATTAATCTATCAGAAATCTTATTAACCTATCAGAAACACTGATTAACCTATCAGAAACACTGATTAATCTATCAGAAACACTGATTAACCTATCAGAAACACTGATTAATCTATCAGAAACACTGATTAATCTATCAGAAACACTGATATATCTATCAGAAACACTGATTACTTTAACCAACCCATCATGCTAAATAAAATGCATTCAGGTCAGGGCTATGAAGCCTTAGATTAATTGGATTTTACATGTATTGATGTAGATGATGGCGAATCAACTCATGTTGCCGTCGACAGGTGAAAAGTCAAAATGCTTTGTTCCTTTCCCGAGTACAGCTAACTGTTTTAATACAGCCAGATTGGGCCAATTTAAAAACTTGGAGTGAGCTTATTCTGACCAAGTTGATGCTAGTGCAGTGACAATCAGCATGTTAATTTTAAGTATGGTGCTTTGGCTGTCTCTCCGAACATACAGCATCCCAGGGGTAAAATTCATCCTAAAGGTTTGGTCTTAACCAACATCAGTACTTACCCTTCTACCTGGATTCATAGAAAGTTACTTTTACCTGACTTAAGTCTGCCAGCTTGTCTGTCATGCAATCTCATAATCAGATGAAAAACCTGTTACATACATCATATTCTGCATTTTATTTAGTTTTTTCTGATGCTGGTATTATAGGGAAAGGAGCAACTAGATGTCAGGATAGACCTGTCTGTTCAGAGAGAGATTACTACGAGACCCAGGCACCCTGTAATGCTGAAAAGAAGGTACGTATAGTGGATAGCATTCCTAAACCATATAACTTGGCCACCCAAGGCACCTTGTAATGCTGAAAAGAAGGTAAGTATACAGGGGTCGAAATTAACTGTTTTAGGCACTAGCAAACCATTGCTAGTGCCTAAAATTTCCACTAGCAAAAGTGATGAACAAACTAGCAATTTTTTGGTGAATAGGTTTGACTTTTATTTACTGTTATATTGAGTTTTTCAGGAACTGAGTGATATTGGAAAAGTTATCCAAGACATTGGATAAGAATGGCTGATTGCTACCTGTATCAACATTTTAAATCTATATAACTTTGAATTTATCAGTTTTCTTTTTTTCATGTATGAGCTACATCTAATCTGACTGTCATATGATCAGATCCATTTATAAATGTAACTGTACCTAAATCTATATTATTTAAAAAATTGTTCACATTAACGATCATTTCAATAAATTATTATTAAGACAACTATCTTCCGTGTTCTCGGCAGTCATTGCGCCATACTGTATTAACAACATTTTCAACGTGGCCATATATGCACGTTGTTGTGGCGGTGATTTTATATCAGCAGCGTCAGGAGAAACGCTCTCCGATTTCGACGATTTTTTTTCAGAAGGGCCAGGCTGTGGCTGTTGACTATTGTCTTGGTCATCGCAAGCACTGTCAGATGCTTTCCTTTTGAAAAAGTTTGTTATCATAGCTGATATGTCGCGTTTCACATGATGAGCAGACAGAAATCATAGAGTTTTCCAAGACAACTTTTTATTCGGTTTACACATAACTATCAAGGGAAATACTGGAGCAATTCCGAATGTATTGATAATCTATGTCACTTAAGCGTTTGTAACCTATTTACTCATTTAAAGGCAGACGGAGAAAGGCATTTTGTGGCAGATGTTTCGTCAAAAATAGTGATTAGGTATAGTTCATTTCCACTCGCAAAATTTTGCTAGTTCATTATTTTCCAGCTAGCAATTACCAAATTTTAGCTGGAATTTTGCTAGTTGTCTATAGTTAATTTCGAACCCTGAGTATAGTAGATAACATTCCTAAACCATGTAACTTAGCCACTCAAGGCATCCTGTAACAGTGAGAGAAGGTAAGTATAGTAGATAACATTCCTAAACCATATAACTTAGCCACCCAAGGCACCTTGTAATGCTGAAAAGAAGGTAAGTATAGTGGACAACATTCCTCAACCATATAACAAAACCATTGAAGGCATCCTGTAACAGTAAGAGAAGGTAAGTATAGTAGGTAACATTCCTAAACCATGAAACTTAGCCACCCAAGGCACCTTGTCCTGATGAAATGAAGGTAATTATAGTCGATAACATTCCTAAACCATGTAACTAACCCATACCAGGCACCCTATAACAGTTGAAAATATGTAAGTATAATCGATAATGAATTAAAAAGGAAGGAAAATTTGGTCTAGTTTGACTGAAAATTAAATTTTTCTTGTATATGCCAATTTATAATGGTTACCATGGTGACCAGAGTTGAAACAACATATAAGTATTACAGCAATTGTATGATGGGAGCAATCTTAATCCGAAATAAAGTGATATGAGTGTATTATAGGTTTGAAACATTGATAGATTTGGGGGGTAAAAACTGAATTAATGTATTTGGCATTCGCATTAGCCCATAAATGATGAAACTGAATAGGGTTATTTTGTTTTTGAGGACATTTGGAATTCAAATTCTATAAATTTTGTGTCTCATCAGATACCAGTCTTAATACAGGTTACTGGTAAAAGCTGATGAATTTGATTATTTTATCAGACATACACAGAATACAAATGGATCCTGCCGCAGCTGTGTCGTGGGAATGTTGAAGGAGCTGTCAGCCTACCCGCTGAGGGACCTCCAAGGGACTGCCCACCTTGTAACCCAGGACATGAGTATGTAAATGGTGTCTGTCATGAATGTCTGGAAAACAAGTACTCTGATGGATCCAGTCTGTGTAAACTGTGCCCAGCCTCGACTTCGCCCACCTACGGCATTGAGTACAAATGGTGGAATGAGATGCCTATCAACATGACATCTGAATGTATCACATTTACAGGTTAGAAAAAGGACTTAGATAACAATATATTGTCGCTGTTTTGTGTTTTTTGGTCAGTGGCTGTGTACCCTACTTGAACATATTTTGGTCTCATGTTCAACTTTGAGAGATAAGTTTATGGTATGTTTATTCTATAGGAGGTGGGGTGAGGGGAGGGTGTTATTTTTGTTTAATTTTTAGTTACTCTTAAGCAAAAATGCATTGTTCACAAAGTGATAACCAGATATATATCAATATGAACTCAGGTACTTTTTTTAGCAGATTAATTGAGTAAAATATATCCATGTAATTAAGCGCCAAGGGAAATGCATTATTTAGTAAAACCACAAAAATTGAGCTCCACAAAAAATATATGATTTCACAGCATCAACTACATTCCTTTTTCCTGTATGGACTTGAATTGGTATGTTGGTATATCACAAGAAAATTCTGACTATGTTTCTTGTACAAAAGTGTGAATACAAACATTATTTCTGACTTTGGTCGAAGTGTTAAAATGCTGGGGTTTAGATGTTATCTCATCCAAAGTTACATGTAGGGCAACTGTGACCACTTGTTGTGAATATTATCACTTGGTGTATAGAACACTAAAATTGAGTCATTATTAATGTAAAATAGTGCCCTGACTTTGAGATGATTAAGTGAGTTGATTAAGTCTATTTTTACATTCCGTAGAGACAGACTGTGAGTCTGAGTCACAGTGGATGGTAGCTGGCGACCATATCCACACCCATTACGGTCGCGGTGATGATGCTTACCTTATTTTGCTTCTGAAAATTGGAGGATTCCGTACCAATGGGGCCGGTATAAACGGAGAAATTGCTAGAATGGAGTTTGTGTTTGAAACCAACTGTACTGGAAAATGTGAATTCATCTTCTTGTCGGTACGACCCTCGAAACCTTTTAAGTTATTGTATTTATAAACAATATGTAAAAAAGAAGAGAATTATATTATCCATACATTGTGAATCAGTATTTAGATTGGCTATAGTTTCATTCACATTATGGTTACTTACATATCCAAAAAAATTCTGGTATACTTAAAATGTTATTTGTGGAAAAAATCCTTGAATTTCCAAAGGAAAGATATGTGATGTCTAGAGAAATGTTGTTGTGATGATGTTTATATTCTTTCTGGTTTTACCTAAAGTTTAAATCAAACTGTTGTCTATAATCAGTGAGTTTATTCCACCATAGAAAATAATAAAGATAAAACCAACACTGGTATTATAATCAAAGCTGTTTGGTTTGACAGGATGATACAGGTCACAGCACTATTATCAATACCTGGGAAGGCAAACAAAAGAAAACCAGTTACAGGTAATAACTGTAATAGTTTAGCAAATGTTTTACTCCTGTTCTTGTCAGTCAAGTTCCACCAGACTTTCTGTTACATCAGTTTTTGTCACACTTTCTGTTACATCAGTTTTTGTCACACTTTCTGTTACATCAGTTTCCACCAGACTTTCTGTTACATCAGTTTCTGTCACACTTTCTGTTACATCAGTTTTTGTCACACTTTCTGTTACATCAGTTTGCACCAGTTTTTTGTTACATCAGTTTCCACCAGACTTTCTGTTACATCAGTTTCTGTCATACTTTCTGTTACATCAGTTTCTGTCACACTTTCTGTTACATCAGTTTTTGTCACACTTTCTGTTACATCAGTTTGCACCAGATTTTTTGTTACATCAGTTTCCACCAGACTTTCTGTTACATCAGTTTCTGTCACACTTTCTGTTACATCAGTTTTTGTCACACTTTCTGTTACATCAGTTTCTGTCACACTTTCTGTTACATCAGTTTCCACCAGATTTTTTGTTACATCAGTTTCCACCAGACTTTCTGTTACATCAGTTTCCACCAGACTTTCTGTTACATCAGTTTCCACCAGACTTTCTGTTACATCAGTTTCTGTCACAATTTCTGTTACATCAGTTTCTGTCACACTTTCTGATACATCATTTTCCACCACACTTTCTGTTACATCAGTTTCTGTCACACTTTCTGTTACATCATTTTCCACCAGACTTTCTGTTACATCAGTTTCCACCAGACTTTCTGTTACATCAGTTTCTGTCACACTTTCTGTTACATCAGTTTCCACCAGACTTTCTGTTACATCAGTTTCCACCAGACTTTCTGTTACATCAGTTTCCACCAGACTTTCTGTACACTTTCAGTTTCTGTTACACCAGACTTTCTGTTACATCAGTTTCCACCAGACTTTCTGTTACATCAGTTTCCACCAGACTTTCTGTTCAGTTTCCACCAGACTTTCTGTTCAGTTTCCACCAGACTTTCTGTTCAGTTTCCACCAGACTTTCTGTTACATCAGTTTCCACCAGACTTTCTGTTACATCAGTTTCCACCAGACTTTCTGTTACATCAGTTTCCACCAGACTTTCTGTTACATCAGTTTCCACCAGACTTTCTGTTACATCAGTTTCCACCAGACTTTCTGTTACATCAGTTTCCACCAGACTTTCTGTTACATCAGTTTCCACCAGACTTTCTGTTACATCAGTTTCCACCAGACTTTCTGTTACATCATTTTCTGTCACACCTTCTGTTACATCAGTTTCTGTCACACTTTCTGTTACATCAGTTTCCACCAGACTTTCTGTTACATCAGTTTCCACCAGACTTTCTGTTACATCAGTTTCCACCAGACTTTCTGTTACATCAGTTTCCACCAGACTTTCTGTTACATCAGTTTCCACCAGACTTTCTGTTACATCAGTTTCCACCAGACTTTCTCTTACATCAGTTTCCACCAGACTTTCTGTTACATCAGTTTCTGTCACACTTTCTGTTACATCAGTTTCCACCAGACTTTCTGTTACATCAGTTTCCACCAGACTTTCTGTTACATCAGTTTCCACCAGACTTTCTGTTCAGTTTCCACCAGACTTTCTGTTACATCAGTTTCCACCAGACTTTCTGTTACATCAGTTTCCACCAGACTTTCTGTTACATCAGTTTCTGTCACACTTTCTGTTACATCAGTTTCTGTCACACTTTCTGTTACATCAGTTTCCACCAGACTTTCTGTTACATCAGTTTCCACCAGACGTCTGTCACATAACTGTAAAGCAAAATTTCAACTTAAATTAAATTGAAGGTTCTATTTCTTACTGCTAATGCTATATTTATGCAAATTTGTAGAATCTTAGGGAATACCTAATACCTACCTTCTTTTTATGAGAGCTCCACACAAAAAACCCAATGTCATTTCAATTCATGGAGATTTGCAGAGAACCAACATCTCAATTTTCAAAGCTGTAAGAGTTGAGGAAATGTATTTCTAACATATGACGTGTGTTCTGTTGATCTCTAGATATGCTATACACTCTGCCGACCCTATCACATTCACCTGGGCGTTTGAACACTCGGATTGGACTATTGAGGATACATCAGAATCAAGGGAGAAATTTGTTAATGATGTGGCGAAAATCTATAGCATTAAAGTGACCAACACACTTCAGGGTGGTGCCTCCGGTTGTCAGACCTGTCCCAAAGGTGTTGATCAGAACGGACATAGTGGGTATGTTTGTAGTGTATGATGTTTGTAGAGAGTTATGCCTAGAATGGACACGAAACAGTACCTAATATTTATTCTGTGATAAGCCCCCATGGCAACATATTATAGGATTTGTTACTAGACTGTGAAATAATAGCATTATTTACATCCCTAGTTAATAAGTAAAATATTAAATGGAATGGCTTAATGCCAGACATGGGCACATTTCTGGATAAGTAAGTTGTGTGATTTTATGAGACAAATGAAAAGCTGTGTGAATCCAGAAGTGATCAATGTAATGGACAATGGATGGATTGAATAAGCTAGAGAATTGCCTTCATGCCGACTTGTTTCTCAAAGGGTGCTAATCAATAATATACCATAATCCTGTCATATTTATCTGGCAGCAGACAGCCTTGTAAAGGGGTGGGGTAGGAGTGGGTGGGATGGGGATGTTGGGGGGGGGGGGGGGGGGGGGTCATCATAAAACTTGTATCTCAAAGATGGGTTTATTGCAGGTTTAATGCTGAGTTGAAACTAACTGTTACTGATACAAAACTATTTATTGGTATTGTCTGTAACAATGTATCTTTTTGTATCTCCTTTCTAATACAGCTGTGTGCCATGCCCAGACGGACATTACATTGATGCCAATGATACATCATGCAAACCCTGCCCTCCTAACACTGTCATTCCCAACGGTCACTCTTGGGGTGTGAAGTCATGTGTGAAGTGTGGAGAGGGCCTACGTGCTGTCCAGGGAAAGCGATGCGAGACTGACTGTACTTACCAGGGCCATGATGGACGGGAGTATGACTTCTCCACACTCAAAGAGTATGCTACTTTACATTATCATACAAACCTTTTATTTTCGGTTTTTCTTTTGCATTATTACAACAAGCCTTGTAGAAGTGAGTGTAGTATGTGGCTATAGTATAATGAAGTTGTTTAAGAGGAATTTGTCAGAAAGTATAATTACCATTATACATAGGAGTATCATTTGATTTATATTAGGACCAAATAAGAAATAAAGGTTACTGTAAAGGTAGTAATGGTTTAAATTTTCATGGTTTTACTAAAAGTTTGAAGCCAGAATGAACTTATATTACAGTGCAGTGTACATCATCCATCCAACTTTTTTTTTGCTTTTTCACAACTTCTTCTTAATAACCAAGTGGGACAGGATACTGGTATCTGCCCCATAGCATGCTAAAATGAAGCTCTATCATGTTTGTTTAATTGAATGACCTTGACCCACTTTCAAGGTTCACAGGGTCAAATGTGTAAATTTAATTTCACAACTTCTTTACAACAAAAAGCCTTAGCTGATATTTGACCTTTAGCATGCTTGGTTTAAAGGCTACTGTGTTTGTCTGAGTGAAGGACCTTGACCCACTTTCAAGATTAGCAATTGCTAATTTTTAGAAAAAAAATGCATCCAAATGATAATTTGCCGAATTGTAAGTGATTTTGGAATGTTTTAAGAAAACCATATGATCAAATAGATATTGATTCTGTTTTTTCTTTAGCCCCAAGATAATCCATGGAAGTCCCCTATTTACTGGCACAGGCACACAATACTTTCATGGTTTCAACATCAGTCTGTGTGGAGTGAAGGATACTTTGGCTGTCTGTCGCAATAATGTCAGCTCTTCTGACAGTAAAGTAAGACAACAGTATGTTAATAGATATAGTAAATAAAAAATGGTTTTATTCTAAAATTGTGTCCTATGCATAATGTCATGTTACTTATGTCTCCTCTCAAGTTAATTTCTTTTCTTTCATAGAAATAACTTTATTCCTGGTAAAATCTTACAAAGAAATCCCTTTATCAGTTATAAGATCTCTCTATATATCCTTGATAAGAATCTGTATCAGTCATTTTAAACTACTGTAACAGTCGATCATCGTATTTTGACATTTGATTCTGTATTCTAGAGGTTGAAAATTCACGAGACTTCAGCAATGGTGTGTAGAACTACATTGGTTCCTGATCGTGACAGTGGCTCCATTGTAGCTACTCAGCCTGTCAGGTAAGTAAAACTTATATAGGGCAAATTATCCTCGTTAGTTGAGATACTTTTGTCTTGACTGCCTTTATTTGTAGTTGGAGGTATTCTCACTGACAAAGGGTTATTCGAATTCAAAAATAAATCAGTTCTCTCCATGGTTTGGTTTCCTGTCTATTACTGCCAAGCATATCATCAATTTATTATATGGGTGGTACTACTAATTAAAACCTCCAGTCCTGGGTGGGAAAGTTTTACTGGAATGGCCCAAAAATAAAACCTACATTCCTGGATGTGATAGATGTTTTACTGGGATAGCCCTAAGAAAAGACGAATCAGATTTGCTGTTTATTTTTCATTAAGTTGCTCACTAACTGTTTCTGTATTTCGTTGCAGCATTGGAGACACCCTGTACAAGATTGTCAGTAATGTATCTCTCTCTGATATGTACACTAGTGAGGGATACATGTATACAGGTAGGTATATCTATGTTACTATTCAAGCGGTAAATACAAGACTAGAGCTGTTAGGTATACAAAATTTTCACCTGATTATTTGACCTTTGCAACCTGCCACACAAACAGTTACCTATTAGTTTACTGTTCATCAGCATTCAGAATAAAAATGTTTATAATAATCCTTGATTTATAATGATTAATAGTCTATCTGATCATCAGAGCATTGCTGGCTGTGACAGTGTATGTACTACAATGTTATTTTCATACTCTCCGAAGTGACACTGCTTTATTCCTCCGTCTGTCTGACCGTCATAATTTTGTCCAGAGAATATCACAAAACTAGAAAGATTATTAACATGAAACTCCATAGGTAGATATAACTCAATAAGGAGGATTGCAGTGTACAAGAACCATAACTCTCTTTTGCATAATTCAGGAGTTATTGAAACATGGTGTAAACATTTGTCATACTAAGAGAATGTGCAGTATACCAAATTCAGGACCTGAAACTTCTTAATTACAGAATTACTGCCCTTCAATTAAATTTTGTGTTCAATAATGTTGTTTTTCGATTAAGTAAATCCCTGTTGGTTGATGGAGTGTTTTGTATTTGACTTGATATGTCTTCAGTAAATAAATCACAATAAAGTACAATGTCCCTTGAAATCTTGAAAGCAGTTTCCTTGATCATTTCTTGTTTTATATCATTTTTCACCCACTGGAAATACCTTAGTATTGTTGACAAATCTATATTCAAGAGTATGAAGTGACAAGTCTGTCAAAGAGGCTGTCATTTTTTTTTTATAATTATTGCCTCGCATTGAAGATGCAGATGCCCCATGGTTTTCAGGTTCTCTGTGCATCTGTCTGTCCTTTGTTGGAATTCAAAGGTCAAGGTCATCAGGAATTCAGTTGCTGCAAATGTCTTTTCAGTTCGTTTGGATGAGTCTGTCAGGGTTTGTTCTTTATTTCTACACTGGAAGTGCTAGCTCTCAATTACATTTGATGTTCAAAGGTCAAGGTCACCATCACTAATTGATCATTAATCTCTGGCTTAAAATTCAATTTTTTTTTTCACCGACTAAGAGTAGAGGACTCTTGACAGCTGTGTGATGATTTGGTCTGTATTGATTGAGTAGAAAGGTGAACTTTGTAGTAAAGATTGAGAATTATCACATTCATGAGAAACAACACTTGTAATATCCACTCTTTCTTTTACAGGATCAGAGAACGACATCCATTTTTACTTCAGATCTGCGAAGTAAGTCTCTGAATGTTCAAGAATTTCACTTTCAGTGACTATTTGAAGTATGTGTGTTAAATTCTAAGGTACTTGTAACAGGTTATGATAGAAAATTAAGTGTAAAAGGAAGCTTAAAAATTATTTAAGTTTTGTTTATAGAGATAGTGATAGATGCTGTGAAAATGGAAACTTAAAAAGGATTTAAATTTTTGTTGTAGAGATGAAGATACATGCTGTGAAAATATGTTCTGTTTCTTGCAGATCAACTGCTGCATGTTTGTCTGGTCGAAGTACAATTATCTCCCTTCGATGTGATCCGTCGGAGTCAGGGGCTGGAACATTAGAGGTGCCACCAAAGTGTGCGGATGGAACATGTGATGGCTGTAATTTCCACTTCCTGTGGAGAACACAGTCTGCATGTGCTGTGTGTCGAAAAGAAGACTCCGAGAAAATCATCGGAGAATGTCAGGATGGGCAGCAACTCATACATTTCACTCCACCACCGTAAGTGACTTACATTTCACTTGTCCTCCATCACTTTCCCCAGTATGGAACTATTTCACTCCTCTGTAAGTGACATACATTTCAGTGTTTCTCCATCACTTTCCCCAGTATGGAACTATTTCACTCCTGTGTAAGTGACATACATTTCACTTGTCCTCCATCACTTTCCCCAATATGGAACTATTTCACTCCTCCTCTGTAAGTGACATACATTTTCAGTGGTACTCCATCACTTTCCCCAGTATGGGACATACATTTCACTTGTCCTCCATCACTTTCCCCAGTATGGAACTATTTCACTCCTCCTCTGTAAGTGACATACATTTCAGTTGCCCTCCATCACTTTCCCCAGTATGGAACTATTTCACTCCTCCTCTGTAAGTGACATACATTTCAGTGTTCCTCCATCACTTTCCCCAGTATGGAACTATTTCACTCCTGTGTAAGTGACATACATTTCAGTGTTTCTCCATCACTTTCCCCAGTATGGAACTATTTCACTCCTCTGTAAGTAACATACATTTAAGTGTTTCTCCATGACTTTCCCCAGTATGGAACTATTTCACTCCTCTGTAAGTGACATACATTTCAGTGTTTCTCCATGACTTTCCCCAGTATGGAACTATTTCACTCCTGTGTAAGTGACATACATTTCACTTGTCCTCCATCACTTTCCCCAGTATGGAACTATTTCACTCCTGTGTAAGTGACATACATTTCACTTGTCCTCCATCACTTTCCCCAGTATGGAACTATTTCACTCCTGTGTAAGTGACATACATTTCACTTGTCCTCCATGACTTTCCCCAGTATGGAACTATTTCACTCCTGTGTTAGTGACATACATTTCACTTGTCCTCCATGACTTTCCCCAGTATGGAACTATTTCACTCCTGTGTAAGTGACATACATTTCACTTGTCCTCCATGACTTTCCCCAGTATGGAACTATTTCACTCCTGTGTAAGTGACATACATTTCAGTGTTTCTCCATGACTTTCCCCAGTATGGAACTATTTCACTCCTGTGTAAGTGACATACATTTCAGTGTTTCTCCATGACTTTCCCCAGTATGGAACTATTTCACTCCTCTGTAAGTGACATACATTTCAGTGTTTCTCCATGACTTTCCCCAGTATGGAACTATTTCACTCCTGTGTAAGTGACATACATTTCACTTGTCCTCCATCACTTTCCCCAGTATGGAACTATTTCACTCCTCCTCTGTAAGTGACATACATTTCAGTTGTCCTCCATCACTTTCCCCAGTATGGAACTATTTCACTCCTCCTCTGTAAGTGACATACATTTCAGTTGTCCTCCATCACTTTCCCCAGTATGGGTCCATTTCACTCCTCTGTTGCAAGTTACATTCATGTCATTTGGTCCTTGTCACTTCCCTCGGTATAGATAAATAGTATCTCCGCTATAGAATTACATACATTTCAGTTGATACATTTAGCTCCACCCTGGCAAGTTACTTACATTTCTCTTGGCTTCCATCGATAACCCAGAAAGGGATACATTTCACTGCAACAGCGTAAGTTACACATGTTGAAATCAGCCTCTTTCATTTATGAATACATTTCACTGTGACATCACAATTACAATCACTTTACTTGCACTCCTTTCATTGAAATAGATATATTTCATTCCACCACTATGAGTAAATGTATTTAAAAAGTACTGAAAAATATATGGATTTTAAATGAGTTAATTTTGGAGTTTTATGTTTCAAATATGTATTCTAGAAAAAGTGCTGGATTTTGAATTTCTCATTTATTTTCAGAAACTGTGTTAAGAAATCAAAATTTGAGCCAGAAAAGAAGGCATGCACAGTTAAGCTTTCTTCACTACCATTTGGAGTAAGTGTCCTCTCTGTGTTTGTTCCTCACCGGTACTTTGATCATACTTAGCTATGGTAGGAATGAGATTTAAATAGAAAAATAAATCAAAGATGAAATTCATTTTCTCTGAAAAAGAAATATTTGTATATTAATCATTTTGAAAGAACGCTATATTTTAATTTATAGAAATATGTTTTACTTTGTATGATCAAACATATCTGTAATGAATACAGATTGATGTGTTGGTAAGTATGGTAACACATGTAATGTAATTAGTGTGGTATTAATATCATGTGAAGCCAAGTGTCATTTGATTTCACCAAGACAAATTTTCAAACTTTGATTTTCGTTTCTACAAAAATCTACAAAGTACTGATTTTTAGATTAATTTACAAAGTTTTGTTTCTTAAAAAAATTTTACACAGTTATGGTTTAGGTGTCCGAACCTTTTTACCTATATCATCCACATTTTTACCTATATCATCCACATTTTTAAATTAATCACTAGATAAATATGTTGGTTAAAACGAATCTGGAATACAAGGCAGATTTTGCCTTAATATATCTGTTAAATAAAACTTTGATACATTTACAACATTTAACCAGTGTGTGATTTGTATAATGTTATCAGCTCCAGGTTGCCATACCGATTGCAGCTGCTGTGAGCCTACTTCTGGTTCTCATCGTCTTCTACTGCTGGCACAAAAACAGAAGGTAACATCACAGTATATTTTGTATGATTTTGCCATGGCTTGGTCACAAAATCATAGGATACTCTTCAGATTTGTATACAAGGTTGTCTACAGTTCACTTACACTGTTACATAGAAGGCTTACAAGGATCTTACTCATCTGTAAAATCTAAAGGTTACTCCTGAGGGTTACACAATTTCTGTGCTCTTCAAATCTTGTGTCGAAATACAGGAAACTTGTTAGTTTTGCAGCATTATGAAGCCATGAGATCAAAACTAATTGATATCTAAGAAGTTAACTGTATTATACAAGATTTTAAAAAAGCAATTACCTGTACAGCTAAATAAAACCTATTAGTGTTTTCCTTTTAAAAAATTAATGCTACGACTTGCAACCTTTTCATCTGGTATTGAAAAGATCACAGGGTTAAGAATCTAATCCAGCTATTTTGTTCCCTCTGTGAGGAGTTTCAGAATTTGTTAGAACTTTTCCCAAGGCTAAAGTGAAACACTTCAGTAGTAGACACATTTGACTGTAGTTTTAGTTGCACTAATTCATGGAGGCATTTTAGTAAAATACCATTGTGAGAGCATGTTGTAATGTAGCTGTGGTGAAGACTCTTTGAAGAGATCAAGGTGGTTTTTTTTGTCTTCAGTGCCTTTTAAGTTTCATTGGGTATTGAGCATACATTTATGCTCCTCAAAGTGAGAGCCTATAGTTGCTGCTTTGTCCGTCCATCTGTCCATCCATTTGTCAGTTGGTTCATCTTGCCTTAATTTTGTTTGGAGCATATCACAACAACTGTAAGAGGTATCAATATGAAACTTCATCGGTAGATAGATCTCTATAAGGAGAAGTGCAATGTACAGAAACCATAACAATCTTTTGCATAATTTAGGAGTTATTGCCCTTTGTTATTTTTCATACTTAAATTTTGTCAAACTGATTCCCTTGTTAAGATTATTAAAAGAAAGTATTTGAAAATTTTCTTAACTGGAAAAAATCCTCATAGAAATTCAACTGTATGTTAACCAAGTCAATAAATGGATGATATTGTTTAATTACTTTTTAGATGATGGCCTATGTATTTTTGTATATCTTTAGTCTGGAGGTGAAATACATGAAGCTTGCCGAGAATTCTGATCGTAACTATGATGGTGAACTGCCTGGCGTTGACTCGTGCGCTTTAGAGGATGGTGAAGATGACCAGTATGACTCGGTGACTTTCAAGGAAAGCCGTGGTGCCCGTTTCTTCAAGAAACTGCGTGGCAAGAGAGGAAAGGTATGCTAATAGGACACATCAATCACATACATGACATATGTCACTGAAAATGTTGGTACTGCAGTTAGGCACTTGTCACTAGGAGGTTGATAACAGAGTTAGGCACTTGTCACTAGGATGTTGATATCAGAGTTAGGCACTTGTCACTAGGATGTTGATAACAGAGTTAGGCACTTGTTACTAGGATGTTGATATCAGAGTTAGGCACTTGTCACTAGGAGGTTGATATCAGAGTTAGGCACTTGTCACATAGAATGTTGATATCAGAGTTAGGCACTTGTCACAAGGAGGTTGATATCAGAGTTAGGCACTTGTCACTAGGATGTTGATATCAGAGTTAGGCACTTGTCACTAGGAGGTTGATATCAGAGTTAGGCACTTGTCACATAGAATGTTGATATCAGAGTTAGGCACTTGTCACAAGGAGGTTGATATCAGAGTTAGGCACTTGTCACAAGGAGGTTGATATCAGAGTTAGGCACTTGTTACTAGGAAGTTGATATCAGAGTTAGGCACTTGTCACATAGAATGTTGATATCAGAGTTAGTTGATATATCAGAGTTAGGCACTTGTCACATAGAATGTAGAGTTAGGCACTTGTCACAAGGAGGTTGATATCAGAGTTGATATCAGAGTTAGGCACTTGTCACTAGGATGTTGATATCAGAGTTAGGCACTTGTCACAGAGTTAGGCACTTGTCACAAGAGGAGGTTGATATCAGAGTTAGGCACTTGTCACATAGAATGTTGATATCAGAGTTAGGCACTTGTCACAGGAGGTTGATATCAGAGTTAAGCACTTGTCACTAGGATGTTGATATCAGAGTTAGGCACTTGTCACATAGGAGTTGATATCAGAGTTGATATCAGAGTTAGGCACTTGTCACTAGGCACTTGTTGATATCAGAGTTAGGCACTTGTCACAGAGTAGGATGTTGATATCAGAGTTAGGTCACTAGAATGTTGATATCAGAGTTACACTTGTCACTATATCAGAGTTAGTTGAATGTTGATATCATAGTTCGACACTTGTCACATAGAATGTTGATATCAGAGTTAGGCACTTGTCACATAGAATGCTGATATCAGAGTTAGGCACTTGTCACTAGGATGTTGATATCAAAGTTAGACACTTGTCACTAGGATGTTGATATCAGAGTTAGGCACTTGTCACTAGGAGGTTGATATCAGAGTTAGGCACTTGTCACATAGAATGTTGATATCAGAGTTAGGCACTTGTCACAAGGAGATTGATATCAGAGTTAGGCACTTGTCACTAGGATGTTGATATCAGAGTTAGGCACTTGTCAATAGGAGGTTGATATCAGAGTTAGGCACTTGTCACATAGAATGTTGATATCAGAGTTAGGCACTTGTCACTAGGATGTTGATATCAAAGTTAGACACTTGTCACTAGGAGGTTGATATCAGAGTTAGGCACTTGTCACATAGAATGTTGATATCAGAGTTAGGCACTTGTCACAAGGAGATTGAGAGTTAGGCACTTGTTAGGATGTTGATATCAGAGTTAGGCACTTGTCAATAGGAGGTTGATATCAGAGTTAGGCACTTGTCACATAGAATGTTGATATCAGAGTTAGGCACTTGTCACTAGGATGTTGATATCAAAGTTAGACACTTGTCACTAGGAGGTTGATATCAGAGTTAGGCACTTGTCACATAGAATGTTGATATCAGAGTTAGGCACTTGTCACAAGAGGGTTGATATCAGAGTTAGGCACTTGTCACTAGGATGTTGATATCAGAGTTAGGCACTTGTCACTAGGAGGTTGATATCAGAGTTAGGCACTTGTCACATAGAATGTTGATATCAGAGTTAGGCACTTGTCACTAGGATGTTGATATCAAAGTTAGACACTTGTCACATAGAATGTTGATATCAGAGTTAGGCACTTGTCACTATGAGGTTGATATCATAGTTCGACACTTGTCACATAGAATGTTGATATCAGAGTTAGGCACTTGTCACATAGAATGCTGATATCAGAGTTAGGCACTTGTCACATAGAATGTTGATATCAGAGTTAGATTTTTGTCACCTGGGTTTTTGATACCATAGTTTGGCATTTTTCATGTTAATTTTACAAAAATATAGTTATTTTTTAGTATTGAGTACAAAGACATGATGTCATGACCTCTTTAATGTGTTGCTGTTACAGAAACCAAACCCCAAAAGAAGCACTCGCCTCCGCACCATCAAGCAAATAAATGAAGGCACCCCTTGCATCATCACACACGAACACACAGCCTACACCATCCCAAACCGAAAAACACATGGAGCACAGACTGTATCCAAGGTTACACAAACATTACCACATGTCATCAGTAAACACTACACATGTCTCCTGACTTAACTACACAAACATTACACATCATATCATCAGTAAACACTACACATGTCTCCTGACTTAACTACACAAACATTACACACGTCATCTGTAAAAACACAACACATGTCTCCTGACTTAACTACACAAACATTACACACATGTCACATTACACACATGTCATCTGTAAACACACAAACATTACACATGTCTCCATGACTTAACCACACAAACATTACACACATGTCATCAGTAAACACTACACATGTCTCCTGACTTAACTACACAAACATTACACACATGTCATCAGTAAACACTACACATGTCTCCTGACTTAACTACACAAACATTACACACGTCATCTGTAAAAACACAACACATGTCTCCTGACTTAACTACACAAACATTACACACATGTCATCTGTAAACATTACACATGTCTCCTGACTTAACCACACAAACATTACACACATGTCATCAGTAAACACTACATGTCTCCTGACTAAACTACACAAACATTACACATCATATCATCAGTAAACACTACACATGTCTCCTGACTTAACTACACAAACATTACACACATGTCATCAGTAAACACTACACATGTCTCCTGACTTAACTACACAAACATTACACACATGTAAACACTACACATGTCTCCTGACTTAACTACACAAACATTACACACGTCATCTGTAAAAACACAACACATGTCTCCTGACTTAACTACACAAACATTACACACATGTCATCTGTAAACATTACACATGTCTCCTGACTTAACTACACAAACATTACACACATGTCATCAGTAAACACTACATGTCTCCTGACTAAACTACACAAACATTACACACATATCATCAGTAAACACTACACATGTCTCCTGACTTAACTACACAAACATTACACACGTCATCTGTAAAAACACAACACATGTCTCCTGACTTAACTACACAAACATTACACACATGTCATCTGTAAACATTACACATGTCTCCTGACTTAACCACACAAACATTACACACATGTCATCAGTAAACACTACACGTCTCCTGACTTAACCACACAAACATTACACACATGTCATCAGTAAACACTATACACGTCTCCTGACTTAACTATACAAACATTACACACATGTAATCAGTAAACACTACACATGTCTCCTGACTTAACTACACAAACATTACACACATGTCATCAGTAAACACTACACATGTCTCCTGACTTAACTACACAAACATTACACACATGTCATCAGTAAACACTACACATGTCTCCTGACTTAACTACACAAACATTACACCTCATATCATCAGTAAACACTACACATGTCTCCTGACTTAACCACACAAGCATTACACATCATATCATCAGTAAACACTACACATGTCTCCTGACTTAACCACACAAACATTACACACATGTCATCAGTAAACACTACACATGTCTTCTGACTTAACCACACAAGCATTACACATCATATCATCAGTAAACACTACACGTTTTCTGACTTAACCACAAATGATATCTTCTGTTTGTACAACATAACTAGAGGATTACTAACTAAACAATGTGGGTTGAAATTCAGAAAAACTCATTTACGTAAACATTTAGTTCTCCTAAACTTCAATGAGGTTTCTTCCATTTAGTTCGACCTCCATTATAGGTAACGAAAGGATATTTAACACAGTGTGTGGTGAATATCACATGTCTCTAAGATGCACGTGTAGGTTCCTCTTGGTTATTAGTTGTGCCTGTTTGATTTTGGGACTGATCAGAAACACAAAATGGCTGACAGGTGGCCATCTTGGTTTTTACAGTTGAGTTTGTTATCTGTTTCTTGAGAAGGACTTGATAGATCTCCCTCCAATTTCATATGTAGGTTCCTCTTAGTCCCTTGTTTGATTTTGGGACTGATACAAAAAACAATATGACTGAGAGGTGAGCATCTTTGATTTGGCTGTTAAATATAATTATTGCTATTTCTGCAAAAGAATGTTCAAATTATTTTCAAATCATTGAGAGCAAAAACAGGAGAGAAGAGAAAAGAAGGGAAAAGATCCAACTTTTAAGGAGCAAATGAACAGTGGTGGGTGCCAAGAGCCCTCTGGAATCTCTTGCTGTAGTTTTTAGTTATCAGTCATAAAAATCATCTTACTATGTAAATTAATTGTATCATTCAATGACATAACACCTGTATAATTATCAGGCCTAGCGTTAATGAAGTATTGCAGGATGTTGAATACAAGTGTCATACTAATTATTACTCAATCTAATATTTACGCATGTCATTTGTATCATTTTCTCTGACCTGCAGCTGTGTTCCTCGTCAGTGTTTTATATGTGTATTAACACTGTCCATATATGTTATTATCTGTCCATTGATTGTGTGATTGATGCAGTAAATGTTATTAAAGTTTGATCTCGGTATATATGTGTATGTTGTCTGGGGATACCTACAAATGAACTCTGGTAAATTGAATAACAGGTAAAGCTGATTACCTAAAATTTAACAAAGCTTCTTTGTAGTTTTTCCGTGATAGCTGAAACAAAATGGATATTTAATCCATGTATTTGATTTTATTTAGCCATTATCCTGGTCATTTTGAGTTCATCAATTTAAAAGTTTCAAGAAACAAAAATAACATTCACAGTTAGTTTTGTTATCTTGGAACAATCTCTGTTTTTTGGGGTTTTTTTTTGTTTCAGGTACAAAACAAAAACTTTAAACTTCACATTTTTAAAAGTTTTTTTAGCTGATAACACAAAATAAAAGTTAATCGCATTGAAATCTTTTAAAAATAAAACCTCAGTATTTTCACAAAGTTTGCCTTAAAAAATCATATTTCCAAACAGGCCTTATTTCATGGAGACATTTTAAAAGGAGAAAAATTCATGCCAACTGTGTGTTAAGATAACATTACACAGGACTTGTTCATTCATGAACACATATCATCACACATTTAAGGGACTCTGGTGTTACTGATTTTTGTGATAATATTTATTGAAAAAGTTATAAAGTCAATACCCGTACCTATTAGGGCAATCAATTTCATTTTGTTTTCCTTTCTATGAATATTACTCTCCTTCAAAAATATAATAAACATTTTTTCCTTTGATATTGACAAAGATTAATTTCCCTCAGTAATATGGTCAACTTACCCTCAGTCGTACGGTAATTTTTCCCTCAGTAATACGGTAAATGTGATTTGGTTTGATATTTACGTACATGACATTCCCTCACTATCACGGTAAATGTGATTTGGTTTGATATAATTACGTACATGACATTCCCTCACTATCACGGTAAATGTGATTTGGTTTGATATAATTACGTACATGACATTCCCTCACTATCACGGTAAATGTGATTTGGTTTGATATAATTACGTACATGACATTCCCTCACTATCACGGTAAATGTGATTTGGTTTGATATTTACGTACATGACATTCGCTCACTATCATGATAAATGAGATTTGGTTCGATATTGACGTACATGACATTCCCTCACTATCACGGTAAATGTGATTTGGTTTGATATAATTACGTACATGACATTCCCTCACTATCACGGTAAATGTGATTTGGTTTGATATAATTATGTACATGACATTCCCTCACTATCACGGTAAATGTGATTTGGTTTGATATAATTATGTACATGACATTCCCTCACTATCACGATAAATGAGATTTGGTTCGATATTGACGTACATGACATTCCCCACTATCACGGTAAATGCGATTTGGTTTGATATTTACGTACATGACATTCGCTCACTATCATGATAAATGAGATTTGGTTCGATATTGACGTACATGACATTCCCACACTATCACGGTAAATGTGATTTGGTTTGATATTTACGTACATGACATTCCCTCACTTTCACGATAAATGAGATTTGGTTCGATATTGACGTACATGACATTCCCTTACTATCACGGTAAATGTGATTTGGTTTGATATTTACGTACATGACATTCCCTCAGTAAAATATGGTAAATTTAGGTTAAATTTGGACTATATATGACTTTTGCCCTTTAGTCACTAATACTGTTTAGGTTATTTTTGTACATTATCATATCTGTCAAGTAAACATCATTAAGTCATGATAATTGTGTATGATATTATTTTCCTGTTGTCACACCAACAGAGCAGTGATGACTTCTTTTCTGTAAGTAATAGTCCTAAAGGTGATTGGTAGTGTTACGGTGGCGGGTACACACCCACCTATACCTTTACCAGAAGAAGGTGGAGATTTAGAGATATATCTACTTTCATCTATCTGTACTGAAACATTTGAAAATTGTATTGTTTTCAATATGATTCACCAAGTTAAGAATGTGAAAAGTTACACATAATGAATTTAAAAGTACCTAGTTTTTGCACATTTTAACAAGATATCTAATGAACGCCTAGATAGACTTCATATTCACACATTAAGTATAGTATTATGGTCTTGATAGGATTGATCACTGATTTAAGGGTCAAAGGTCATGCAATGGACCACTTTTGAATTGAAAATCTTTTACAAAACATTTCATATTTATATTATGTTATGGTATCTCCTGTGATATGATATTATTCTATAAAGAAATTGTTTCGTTTACAATAAGCTCTAGTTTGTTATCATTCATTCTCAATATTTCCCTTGCCTTGTCTCATCAGCGTTACAGACCAATTTTGTCTTTAGAATTTATTGTATGTAATGATAATGATATTTAGTTTTCTTTAAACACTGAAATATCTATTTTACTTAAAATGGTTCTTAGATTAGTATTCTGGTGATTGGAGTAGAAGTTTGCAGAACGCACTTGCTTTATAATTACTTTATCACATTTAGTTTTGTTTTATTTGTTTGTGAGATGTATGTTTCCTGTTATTTGTTTGTGAGATGTATGTTTCCTGTTATTTGTTTGTGAGATGTATGTTTCCTGTTATTTGTTTGTGAGATGTATGTTTCCTGTTATTTGTTTGTGAGATGTATGTTTCCTGTTATTTGTTTGTGAGAAGTATGTTTCATGTAAGTACTATGAAGAAAAAATTAATACTGTTAATTTTTATCTCAATTTTATTTTATCAATTCATTTATAAGCTAAGACTGATGATACTCCTAACCATAAGGCATTATTTGCCTTTCTAATGATGTAACAATGGAATGTTATCCTCCTTTATAAAAAAATTTTCCATCCATCATAATTTTTTGCGGGGTGTTACACTAAAACTATAAGAGGTATCAATATGAAACTTCATAAACAGATCGATCTCGACGAGATGGAGCACAAGAATTATAACTCTCTTATTGCCCTTTATTATTTTTCGTAGTTAAATTTTGTTCCATTTGGGCAGCATAAGCTGACCCTAATGGCCCTTGCTAATGGTTTGCTTTTGAAGTGTAGGTTTTTATGGTTTATTTATATATTGTTCGTTTTGTTTGTTTGTTTGTAGAGTGTATAGTTTGTTGGCATGTTTGAAGCTATCTATAAATAGCATTTGGATGATGGGTGTTCCTACTGATAATACACTTGAAAATACACCAGACTTAGGCCGACATACTAATGGCATCCTCAATGTAGTTATACTACAGTAAATCCAGAGGGACAAAACATCACATTTGTTTCAAAAAGCACAGGATGGGCTTATTACAAGACATTTACATAACATTTGTTAACAGGCATAGCCTTACTATATATACCATCTTCAGCAACACTTCGATTCACTGTTTACAAATTTCTTTATGATTAACAGTTTAATTTTTATTTTTAAAATCTCGCCTACATTTCATTTCTGTTCAAATGGATCTTCACTCATGCAAAGTCACAAAGGTCAAATGTGTATCATGCAACTTCTAATTTAAAAAAAACCCAGATTACTTGTTTGAAACACTAGCAAGTCCAAGGGTATAATTAGATGGACTAGTCCAACTCTGATGGTCACCAAAATGATACGAGTAAAACTTCTATAACAGAGGACTATTTAGATAAATCACTAGTACAGGTTTTGTATAAAGGGGGGATAACTCCTGGGTGCTTTGTTCACATTCATTTAAACTTTGTCATATGTAGTAAGTCATCAAAGCTTATAAATTGATATGGTCAGGTCCAGGTTGTTCAAAGTTGGTTTTGAGCTAACCAGTGGTTTATAAAAAATTCAAATTACTTCTGCTGAAAAAAACAAAACCGTTATAGTCTTCACACAGAATGTATTACTATGACTTGTCTACACCTATGCCATGAAAAAGAATTTTCCCTATTTTGTTTAATGGGGCCTAGTGTTTTGGACTTGTTTCCATGGAAGCACAGTGGAGTTTCTTAATTGACCAATAAAAAAAAAATCTGATGCATAGCGGGGTTTCAAGGGATGGTAGCTCTACCTGAAATATATAGGATTTCAGGGGATGGTAGCTCCACCAAAAATATACAGGGATTCCAGGGGATGGTAGCTCTACCTGAAATATATAGGATTTCAGGGATGGTAGCTTCACCTTACATAAACAGGGATTACAGGGGATGGTATATGCAATGATTACATGGTAGACAAAGTACTTTCGTGTAGGTATTTGAATTTGTTGAATCGGAAATGCTGGGATTTTGTCAGTACCGGTAATTATTGGGAAGCAAGGGTATCAGCAATCCTGGCCATAGTTCTAATTATCAATTTAAATTTACATTCCAAATAAAAGATAGATAGGATGGCTTCCTATGTGAAGATCTGTCACCCAAATTACTTTCATATTGACAATGGTTACAATCTGACTAACGTTCAATAGTTCTACAGCTATTTACATTTCTGATACCTGGTATATTATTTCAAAATTTCAAATGTCTATTTTACTAAGTGAAAGAAATAAAAAAAAAATTCACTCAATTAATTTGTATTTATCCTTAAAACAGTGATAATTCAAACTATATATGTAAACCTATTACTTTTATTACCTATAATTCATGTAATTAGGTCAATAGACCACCATTGTACATCTATGATGGCAGTGTTGTGTAGAAAGTACTCCTTTGTGTACAATCTAGAGATAATGGAAGGCCATGATTTGAAATGTAAATATGTGTACATGTAAAAATGAATTTCCTGTGTCCATGGTAAATTTTTTCCTGTCTTTAATTTTAGGATGATGAAAATCCGTTTGAGCCATCTAATGGAGAAAAAATCCCGCTTACATAACCTAGAAAAGGAAATGGACATGTGATCTGTTATAACGGACATGATGGGACCAAGTGACATCTAATACTGCAGTTCACTTCTGAAGAATTTTCCACGGAGATGTTGTAACTGCCTTGTTATAGAAACATAGAGGGCTGAAGGGGTGCAATTTTCAAACGCACAAAAACAGGAGAAAATATCTTCACCACAGACAAAACAGCAACTTCAAAATCCAACTTTCATGTTACAGTTGTTATTCTATGATTTTAATTATATTTTTTAATTTTTTAAATATATCATACTTTGCTTTGTCCCAAATTTTTCTGTGGTACATTATTAAAAACATAATGTTTTCTTTTCTTTCGAAAATTATTATGTAACATATATCAAATTTTAACTGAGATATTAAGATTTCAACATGAATCATTAATCCAAACAAAAGGACTTTTTCTCCAGATATTATTGTTGAGAAGAAAACATTTTAGATATTCTGAAAGCTTATATTCTGAACAGGTTTTAAATTGATAACTAAAAATCTAAATAGAATATACAAAACACATAGTGATACTGAAATATTTCTGGTTTTCAAGTTTATTAACATTTATTCAATTTTTCTGGTTTTAATTTACACTGTATACATATTTTTTTTTCAATTTTAATTTCATAATAACTTGGTTGATCTGTATTCTAGTTACTGTTTCTGTTATATACCAGATATTACCGGTAACATAAAACTGAGAAGGTTTCTGAGTTGTGAATTTTTTCATTTATTTATTTCTTTATTATTATTTTGTTTTAATTGTTCTTTTCATTAGTTGGGCTTTGAAGAGTAAATTTTGAACTCATCGTTAGCTCACACAGGGATCACCACAAGTTTTCATATTGAAATATTTGAGAAATATCAGACAGGAAATCAGATTGGTTTTTTGCCCCTGTAGTCATACAAAATCATTGAAAGGGAAGCGAATTTTATCACCTAAAGTTGGCCATATTGTTTGTGAAGCTTTATTTATTGTTGCTGGTTACATGGAGCATTACCAGGGGTGGGAACATTTTTTTTTTTTTTTTTTTTGATGGAGATTCAAGATTACAGATTCTTTTGAAGAGAATTGTTCAATTTTGCATTATTTTTTTTTTTTTTTTTTTGTTTTTTTGCAAATTCACAATTTTGTAATAAAAGAGTTTTATAGATTTTGAAAATTCTATGACCTTATGTTGATATTATTGTTTAAGATACAGCGAATTATATCCTTTGTCAGCAATTCAGCACAGATGGCGCTGTTTCAATTCAATTAATGATAGATATTGTGTTGTATGGTTGTTTCTTTTTGCTGTAATTTACCTCTCCAAGCTTCACTAGCCTCTTTCTGGTTATCTAGAAGTTGATTAGATATGCCAGATAGGATTTCTGTACATAACCTGATACTTTTTTTATATAAATACATTATTTGAAAAATACACCCACCTTCATTAAGGGTACATGATACATTTGACCTCATTTTTTTTTTAATTAATGTTATATTAACTCCCCATTTGAGCTACAAAGTACATGCATTTATCCTGATTTTCTTGCCTCTGATGTCATTGATAGTTCAAGTAGACATGCTACTTAATCAGATATACAATGCACCTTGTTTCTTTTAGAGTTAACTCCCTTTGAAACAGAAACGGGAGGTCAGGGTTATTATAAAACACCTCTTGTGTTCCTTTCAGTTTATCTTAAGACACAGTTACTGTTTCTGATGGATGTCTTACTTTTTATGTGTAGACTTTTTATAAAACTACCTACTTCACTTACTTTGTAAAGATAGCTTTTACATATTGCTGAGGATCTTTGTATGCTCTGCATAAATCTTAGCAATCCAAAATCCATGACAGATTAGAATAAGGTCTGTTGGAGAATTACAAAAATTGCTCTATAGTATAATTTTTGTTTGTTTGTTTGTCATCTCCTCTCCCTCCACCCCACCCTTCTTTCAAAACAAGACATAGAAATAGGAAAAAAAAACCCAATATTTGTTTAGAAAACCTCTCGATTAATTTGTATTGGTAACCCTAGAAGTGATATTGTCTTATAATAAGCTGGTAAAATAGTATATTTAGGATCAAGCTGATGTTTTCAACATTAACATTGATCTCCTTGCTGTAAGTTATGTTTGAAATAATGTATTTGTTTTAAAAAAAGTGACCTTGTGTTAGTCTACCCATAGTCGGTAGGTTTTAGCAGTGTAAAGATACACCATACTGCTAGAGGTGTAAGGATACACCATACTGCTAGGGGTGTAAGGATACACCATACTGTGAGGGGTGTACATACTGCTAAAGGTGTAAGGATACACCATACTGCTAGGGGTGTAAAGATACACCATACTGCTAGGGATGTAAGGATACACCATACTGCTAGGGGTGTAGTGACATACTGATCTAATTTTAAGATAGGATAAAGTTGTGTTTTTTTCTCAGAGATAATTATTTTTGTGAAGGATACGTTGAACTGTTTTCTATTTTTGGTCTATAATTACACCCCTAATAAACACATCTCCTGTCTGCTAATTAGCTTGTGGTGTGTTATCAGCTGTATCTCAATAAAACACATCTCCTGCCAATGAATTAGCTTGTGTTGTAATCAGCTGTGTCTCTATAAAACACATCTCCTGCCTGCTTGTTAGTTGTCGCTGTAATCTCTACTGCTCTACATTATACATACATGTGATGATATACTACCATTTTATGTATACAATATGAAATCCAAGCACTGTTGTGAAATCTGTGATTTTATTTAACTCCCTTTGTCCTAACATCGTGTACAGGCTACTGGAACCTAGTCACTGTGATCTGTGTACTACAAATGTATTGAAGATTCTGTTATGCTTAAGTTATATGAACAGAGATACAGAAAAGTGAGCTGGAACATCAGAGAAAATATATTGTTCTTTAGAGAAAACACCAAATGTTTGTCTTCTTACTGGAGAAAACACCAAATGTTTGTCTTCTTACTGGAGAAAACACCAAATGTTTGTCTTCTTACTGGAGAAAACACCAAATGTTTGTCTTCTTACTGGAGAAAACACCAAATGTTTGTCTTCTTACTAGAGGAAACAGGAAATGTTTTTTGTCTTTTCACTAGAGGAAACATGAAATGTTTTTTTGTCTTTTCACTAGAGGAAACAAGAAATGTTTTTTTGTCTTTTCACTAGAGAAAACATGAAATGTTTGTCTTTTCACTAGACAAAACAGGAAATGTTTGTCTTTTCACTAGACAAAACAGGAAATGTTTGTTTTCTCAATAGAGAGAACATGAAATGTTTTGCTTCTCACTGGAGAAAACACCAAATGTTTGTCTTCTTACTAGAGGAAACATGAAATGTTTTTTTGTCTTTTCATTAGAGGAAACATGGAATGTTTTTTTGTCTTTTCACTAGACAAAACAGGAAATGTTTGTTTTCTCACTGAACAGGAAAAGTTGTGTCTTGGCAAAGGACAAGAAATACAGGTCTCAGAAGAGGACAGGACAGATGTGTCTTGAAAGTAGACATGATATATATTGAAAGTGTGTCTCAAAAAAAACCCGCAGAAAACCATTGTGATACAAAAGACATGATAGAATGAGTTGCTAGTAATCCAATGGAGTTAAGGCTACTAATTCTCATATTTTTTTTTTTCAAATTTTACTTCGATGTTTCAAATTTTAAACTTGTCAGAGATGCTTATTTTTTTCTGATTTTTGTAGCAAAATTTTCTCAAAATGTCAAATGTTTTATGATCAGAAAGGTAGCAGTTATAAACTTAACCTTGTTCGTGTATTACTTTTCTTAATGCGACACTTCCGAACTCCATGCTTACATTCACATATAGTTACACATGATGAGATATAAGATATTTAAATCTCAGTCTGTTAAAAATTGCTGTTAGTTGACATGTACCGTCTGAGTGTTACGTGTGCATGGCTGAACTTTGATCCAATAAGAGGTTGAAAATAATATATATTTTTGTTTCATTGGAAGGCACATAAATGTTGACCACTACGCAGAATCGGCTAAATTTTGTTTACATTTCATAATTTTTTATTTAGCGTTTTAGCATTTCTGTTAAAAATCACTTTATTTTTTTCTCTTGTGAAATCCAAATTCTGTCCATGTTTTGGTATATGTACATAGATGAGGATTGTATGGAGGTTTGAAATGCCCTCCTTATCTAATATATATGTAAAATGATATCTATAATCCAGCGTCCATGTATTGTGTTTGTAATAAATTCAGTTTCATGTCTTGAGCTGTTATGCAATTACTGCAGGTAATCTGTGACTGTTTTTCTATCAGGAAAAGGTATCCTTAAGGAAAGATAGATTGATGTAACTTGCAATCAAATGAATTTTATAATTTCACTCTAGAGTTGACAAGGTCAAATCTCTTTATTTTAGTGTTGAATGTATTTTTTTTTTCAAACATTCTTGAGAGAAGTAGTTCTGAATGATAAGACTGTGAATTTGTTTTCATGTTTCAAGATTTTATGATAACACAATAATGCATGTTAACACATCCAGTCTACCTTAGTCCAATATCAATTCTGTATACACTTTATGTTATTAGTGCAATATATCAGAAATAGTTGTAGATCGATGCATTTCATTCGATTTGTCTTTTTTACTGTAAAGAATTATATTACTGGTGAGCTATGAATGGTGATGAAGTCTCCTGATGGCAGTACTGTGTTATAGTCAAGGTTGTGGTGTCATTGTGTGGTAATAATGGTTGTGTTTGGCATATAATGCCACAAATAGAGTAGTGATATATATATACATAACCGGCACTTCTATTCATAATCAACTGAAGTAAGATAGCTTATATTAAGTTGTATATTCTGTAAAATCAGACATTTTCAGAGAGCACAATTTTTGTGGTTTTTCAAAAAAGTTCTATTTCATGGACACTTGACTTTGTGGATAAATGTTGAACAGTAAATCAGCTTAATATGATGTATGTGATTATTTCAGACTGTTTCCTTCAGATTGGTAATGTCAA